TATAAATATAAAACAAAAAAAGAATAAAAATAAATAAATAAAAAATAAAAATAAATAAAATTACTCAAAAACAAAAAAAAAGTAAAATGGAGCCAGAACCCATCACGTCCCCGTCGTTGGCTCTGGGTCGCGCTAAGTGTGGGTAATATACCGTGCAGATGTGTCTAATTAATAGTGATAATTTGTAACAAATTAAAGCTATAGCCCTCCCCGAAACTCTTTCCTAGCTACGCCACTGTCGCGTGCCATCGTTGTACGAGAAAAGAGATTTATCTAACTTTGTACATTTATCGTACATTTGTTTAATCTTATATTTTAAAATTAAATTAATTCATATGTAAAAACTTGACTACGTAAATTATACTTTCTGAAATTCTAAGTCACCTATTTTTAAAAATTTCCCAATTCTCGTCAATGCTTCTCGGTTTATCGATCGAAAGTTTAGAATAGTTCACTCCACGAATAAAGAACGTGCGGTGGATTGTGCGGTCAAAATATTTCGGTATGTGTGCTATCGTTCGCGATCGTCACACGCTCGAAAGGGTTCACGGGGCCGTGAAAGCTGCCGCGGGGAGAAAAGAAGGCGTGCACTCGTGCGCGGAGGGTGGAACTGCATGTAGGTGCGCGGATGCATTACATGCTCGAAATGATAGCTAAGGGCGGCGGATGCTTAGTCCTTTAGTTTTCTTTCTGCGCGCACACAACATCAGTAGCCGCTGCTTCTTCGCATTTATACGTACCTCACTCCGAAAGTTTATGCTGCCTTTTGTGTTAAACCACGCCGGTGCGGTGCGGAGCCGTGGTTTATCTGGTGAAATGTACCTTCGTGGAAAGCTTAAGTATGTAATTCGGTACCTGTTATACAATATATGCAACAAACATTTTATTATAAACTGCAAAAAGTTAGTTGCAAATTTGAAACGCGAGCAGAGTAGAATGTCCTTTTGATGCTGGGTCATCATTCAATAAAATGTCAAAGGCAAAATGCGCGTGAAAAAAAGCCGAAAGTCAAACATTAATGTTTGATATTGTACGTAAATTTTCTGCAAAATCAAAATCAATCTTTAGATAGCAATTTCAAAAATTTCCAACTACATGACACACGACAACAATAATAATAAACTATGAACGAAAATATGTATCTTGAAGCTATAATCAGATTTTTTTAAACCATATAAAAATGAACAAATGCAAAACAATACGTATTTAATGCAAATGAAGAAAAATGCAGTAAAATAACTAGGAAGCAAAGATCGAAGAAAATATCAGATTTTGCTGAAGATTTCCTCAGGCAGGCTCTTACGTAATACAATACGATAATTATGAAAATTTCTGCAAACTCTTGTAACTTTCTGCAACGTGCACTTGATTTGCAAAGCGATTTTAACATAGTTGATTTTAACGCTCTTCTGCAGAATCCGACTGCTGCGCAGCCCCCACCGCCTCCTCTTTTTAACTGTTTAACTGCAATTTATTATTGCGATTCCGACCATCCGGCAGCGAGAAAACTTCGGCATTCACGTCAGAGCTTACGGTGTCTTAACTCAATTTGACACGGCAATGGTGCCGCGTGGACGGCGCCGTGAATGCGATGTGTGAGGATGCTATCAAAATAACGAACCCATCCCGCATCTTCGAGTGTATTAATCGCGCACGGATGCATCTGAAGCGCAGTGGGATCTGCCGCACTTCATGCATGCATGCACAACCGAGACGGCTCACCTGCCCTCTCCCCATTGATGATAGCCCCACTGGAACTTGCGCCCCATCGGCCGAGGGGTAAACCGAAAATTCTAATTCAGGTGAGCTCGTGCTTTGGCCGTGCACTTCTATCGTGGTTGCGGTTGGCGCATCAATACCCGATTTTTAAGAAAGAACCTTTTGAGCGCGCGGTATCGAACACGTACGATCTTTTTTGTGCACCTAAATGTAATCGAAAAGTTTGGTTCCTGAGAGAACTGTGATGAATAAAAGTGGCGTTTTGAGGAATCACGAATTTAAAGATCTCGAAACTCTATACTGAAAGAAAAATAACTTGAAAACTTTTTTTCAGGAGCTACGAAAGGCATAGAGTAAAAAACAGCATCGTATAATTAGCGTAATGTGGTGTTACAGTTACAATATTTGTTACAGTTTCTTCTTTAATTTCAAGATTGCAAATTTTTGAAATGTTATATTATTCATTCACGTATAGATCATATTATCGGAGTAATAAATTATATTGTGATTTTAATTTTCGAACTTAATCTTGGAAAACTGACACATTTCCGATTAACTTTTTAAAATTTTACGTTAATTTCAGTACTCAATTTCATTCTTTACTTCATTTAAATCTATTTCGGATATCAAGTTTCAAATTAAAATATATTTAATTACATCATATATGTTTAACTAGTTTCTCTGATATATTTTTTCCTTTTATTTCCAAATTAAGGTTTCCAACGTTTTATTTTATCTTAAATGATTTTTCCATTATATTGCCTTTTTTATTTCGGAAAAGTTGTTCCGTTGCAAGGAATATTTAAGGCATATTGATATTCTGGTAATACCTTCGATATGTAACAATTAAATTTCGGAATGCAATTTTTTCGAGACTGCATCGTGACGCGACCGCAAAAGCTCATGCCCTCATGCTCTCTCGCGCTGATTGTGGATTCAGTAACTCATGAGAGGACTGTGTTGGGTATCGGGAAACGTATGGCGAATGTAACGATCGGTTACCGCCACGGTAAATGTTTCGCTGTTCGCTGGGATTGCCGAATGTAAACTGTCTATTACCGCGGTCGGCAGCGATCGTCCGCGCGCTCGTTTTCATTGGACCCGCGTTTATCAGCGTTACGTACGATCGAGACGAGGATAATGCGCTATATTCCCGATTTTCGACCATATGCGCACAGCTCGGGCGTATAATAAGATGATTGGCGCTGCTAATTAACGGAGGATTGCATCAGTAGTTGCAAATTAGCAGGATAGCATTTAAAAACGAGTGGAGTTTAGAAACGATTCTTTTGATCAATATTTAACTCAAGATTGAGAGAGATGTTTCTTTGATATCTGCTTGTTGTTATTTTACTGCTGCAAGAGAAAGAGCTGTTGATAAATTTCATTAAACTGTATTTATGTAGAGATCTAAAAAGATCTAATTATTTTAATTTAGTTTATTAAATTCTTAAAAAATTTCTTGCATTTTGTAATATTTTTGTAATTTATTTCATAAAGCAGGAAGAAAGAAATACGCAGGTATAAATTTTGAGTACGTTTGCGCAAAAATATAAGTTTTAGAAGACGACCGTGATGACTGAAAGCTGCACAGAAAATTTTATAAAAGTTTCAGAAAAAAATTGTTCTTCGTATATCTCGAATAGTTTTACTTGTGGTTTGATAGCAATTAATAACTGAGAATTATGTCAATAATAAGAAACTGAGATCCGAAAACATGTGCGTAAAAAATAATTGATCATCAATGATTTCCAGTCTCTACACGGCCGGAAGGTCAACGTTTCCAAGTTTGAAGTTTATCTTAGAAAAGAGAAACAAGTATAGCTACTTAAAAAAAGAAATATTGCGCTATACATCTTGGACACTTCTTGAGAACGAACATGTTTCTCTCGGGCGCCCATAGAAATAAGCCACGAGGCACATCGAGCAGTCGAGCGCGCCACGCGATAAGATATAAGGGGACGACGTTCGTCCGGAATGAGAGGAAGGCCTCTTGGGACCAGTTGAGGTCTTAATTACTGGCCTCTCACAGAGGAATGCCGTGTTATCGTGCGGTTGCTGCCCGCTTGCACACGGCCGTTGAATTTCGCTCTTTTTTCGAGCTCCTTGAAAAAAATCGATGCTATGTAGTGTGTTTCTTTTCGAATTTGGAGGCTCCACGTGACGCGCGCTGTCGCACAATAATGGCGAGATACGCAAATGATACACTGATTGCTCATCTGCAAGTCCACATATTTCTATCGAATAACTGCTGATAAATAATTTGTGTCTTGGATAACATAATTATTAATAATATATAGTAATTACTAAATTTAGAAAATGTTATCATTATTATTATTGTTTTTGTTAATAATATTATTATTTGAAATTCGATCTCTTTCCTGTAAAAATACTGCACATTTTTCTCGTGCAATATTGTTTTATTATCGTACTTGGACATTTCTTCAGACAATTTCAGAGAAAATTAAATAAACTTACAATTTTAATTACAACATTTTCACGTGCTATATACTTTTTTTAAATGAGAAGTTAATTTTATCGTCTCGGGAAATTGAGTTCGGAGAAACTGGCAGGCTAATAAAGCTGACCTTAACGTCCTGACTTCACCTCTTGCTTGTCTCACAGGTGTGAACGATATATTTTCCGGAATTTGGAGTGCACTAAAACATGTTAGTGCCTGGCCGTCGGCTTTTATTGCGCGATTAATTTCGTCCACTTTACGTACGGGGCACGGTCATGCGGGGCATCACTCTTCGACCCTTGATGCCCTGCAACCACCCTTATAGTTCCATTCAGTGCTGTACCGCTGTCTGTTGAAAATCTGGAATTGGATTTAAGTTCTGAAACATAAATTGTTACAAAGATGTTAATAGAAAATATAATATAACACAAGACCGAAAATAATTTCCCTTTTTTATTTTAGAAAGAAAAACATTGCAGTTTTTAACATGATTTGAAGTGTCCGTCTAAAATAGTAACAATTTTTATATCTAATTATATATTTTTATACCAAGAAAATGAGAAATAAAATATATATCTAATTAAAAAAACTTAGTCGAAAATAGAGCATCTATTTCTTTTTAAGAAATACATAAACGCGACATAAACACAAGACTTTTAATTGCATTATTTACATTATATTATAGAAATTTGTGTAAAAATATTTATTTATATAAAATAAGCAAATCTTATCGTGGTATTAAAAAAATTTCTCTCATTTATACTGTTCCACGTTTTTGTTTGAAAAGAATATCATCTTAATGCTACTGTAACGCTTTCTGAAATTTTTTCGCACTCGGGTTCAGAATCACGTAAATACGAGGCTGGTTCTATCCTATCGGGATCTCCGGGATCTCCGTTACCTCTGACGACTACGAAGAGAACGACCCTGCGAAGCGGTTCGCCAGGTGCGTCGGATATCCTCGAAGATGTTTCGAGCGGCTCAATGTATATGGGGTAAGCCGAGAGAGCCCGATCACACACGGTGATACTAACGACCGACCTAATGTATATCAGTCGTAAAAAAGGGGCGCGTGCGACTTTATTTGAACCCTCGTTTCGGAGGAAACGAGGGATTTCTCGGTTGCCGGAGAGCATCGCCGGCTGCCTCCGACCAATACCGAGCCGAGACCAACGCTGGGAATTGTTTTTACGTAGCGATATCATCTGTGCCGCAGAGAGGAAGTGGATAATGCGTTTTGTGAGTACCCTACAATGTTCTGGCACGTGTGAAGACGCACATACGGATATCTTTCAAGACACACCTCGGAGTGATTCTAGCTCGTTTTCTCGTCGTCATACTCGTATCGCCATACTCGGCGCTGAATATCTGATACGGAGCTTTGTTTTTATAACGGGAGAAGAGCGCATTCGATATAAACATGCGATTGGATTCAGTTTTAGTGTTAAATGTACACGATACAGAGACTTTTCGATTACGCTATCGGAATGGGCTGGAGTTATCGTCGCAAACTTCCTGGTTCTTATAAATTTTTCACGCTATCGAAAGCTCTGCATGGTAAGTTTAGAATGTAATAATCAATTTTTTTATTCTTTCCTGTATCATGCTCTACAATAAATATAAAATAGAACGTAACAGAGTGTTAAATGAATATCCTTTGAATTAAATATATGTAATAAGAAAATTAAACAAATATACAGATTCGCCTTAAATGGCAAGATGAATCAGTGAATTAACAGCGCGGGTCCGAAAACTGTATTAATTAAGATGAAATGTAAGACGCGAAAAAGAAGATAGTAGTCTACAAATTAATTGAAAAGAGTGTTCCAAGTTTAAAGGTTTCTAAAATCTACCAGGAAATAAAGAGTCGGATAACGACCTCGCTACTCGACAGTCTCGATATCTCGATTCAGCAGATTTATGCCACTTTTATCCGGCTGGATGTTCTCTATTTCCTTCTGATAATATCGCTTCTCTTAACTGTATATTTCCCGTCGTATTTCCCTTTCGAATTATATCCGGCCGGTTAACTTAATATTAAGTTAAGCTGCTTTTACTCTATTTATATGAGCGGTCGTATTCGTGCGCCAAACCGTATAAAACATCCTCGAAAATATCGATGCCTAAGACATGCTGACAGTATCGAAATATATCGATTCTTTATTCACGATACAAAATTCTTATAACTCTAATATTTTTCGCGATGCTCGAAAGAAAAGCATCGAATTATCGGCGCACTGGAAATATTCTGATTTTAATCAGAATACAGTTTGTATATATATATATATTTTGAAAATAATTTGTGTAATATTATACATAAGATAATAATTTAAAAAATCAATCGTGAACGTGCTTTATATTAAATTTTATGTTCGATCATATTTTCCCATACATCATTTCTGTTTGTTATAAATGAAAAATAAAGTGGATCTTGCCTTGAGATGACTAATTACGCGCTTCATTTATCGGGATCATCTTGATCTCCTTGATGGTAGTTATGTTACCGAAATTTAACCGCGATGCAGTTGACGATTAAGTATCCCGGCAACTCGAGCCCCAACTCGTAGCGTAATAACACGTACCGACATAACCGATCATTAATTCGCGGCGAGGTATGCGTACGCTCGCGGAAACGATCGTAGAAGCTGCCGGCGTTCCGATGGCGCATGATTAATAGGAGCCTCGCGAGAGATTGGCTCTTAATGACTCGACAACGAAAAGACCGCCGTGCCGTGCCGTGCCGTGCCGCGCGCCGGCGGCCATTAAACGCGTTTTTAGTCACGCCGGCTTGATTTCTACTTGAGCTAATGGGCTTTTCATCGGTTTCGGGTAATCCGAGGGGATCTCGACTCCCTGTCACTGTACATTCTAAGGGGTGGTGTACACGCGCCACCTGATTCGTTAGACCACGTGCGAACTGGCGGATGGTGAGCGATAAAAAAAAATGCACTCTTTCATTAAAAAGGATCAAACACTTGTGATTTAATAAACCTTTCACGTCGATCGTAATCTATCATTTTAAAACAGCTGAAATTAATCGGTGGAAATAAAAAGAGCATTATACAGAAAAGAATTTAAAAAAAAATCGATTATTACATTCTAAACTCACTATGCATTCGATAACGTGAAAAATTTATAAGAACCAGGAAGTTTGCGGTGATAACTTCAGCCCATTCCGATAACGTAATCGAAAAGTCTCTGTATCATGTACATTCAACACTAAAACTGAATCCAATCGCACTATTCTTTAGATATTTCTTCTTATTATTTTTATATACAAGCAAGCGAGCTAAATATTAAGCAAAATGTATTTTTTAAAAGTATAGTTACTCTTTCGAGATGTTGATGCACTTCATGAGAAAAGTAACGCTTCTATTAAATTATTCAACTTTTTCCTCTTCCGTTTTCCTTTCTATTTTTTACTACTTATACGTGTAAATGCATATATAATAAGTTCAAGAAAAAAAAAAGAATAAATTTTTATTTCTGTTCTTTCTCTAGCAAATTTATCGTTCAAAATTCTTCGCGCGCTTGTGCAAACGATCCCTCTTTCCAAATATTATTGCAATAAGTCACGAATACCACAAATATCATGATGCAACGCGCTGCTGTAACGAGGTTAATCCCAATATATGAGCGATATCTTAACGCGTCAACACGTCTTCGGCGGTCGAAGCTAGCGCGAATTACTGCGAGATACTAATATCGAGCGCTGAGGATTCGGGAAAGCGGCGCGGATGATGTAGTGCGCGGTGCGGCGATGCACCGTGACGACGGCGTTTCCCATCGCGAGGCTATGCCCCGGGGCGGCGGACTCGTGTCGTCGTGTCATCGATAATTGATGTATGCGCGAACTAACGGCCGTAATTACAGCGCCTCGCCGATGATACCCGCCGCGCGCGCGGAATCTCGCGCTTCGTCTCCTCGTCGGCTCGCAGGGCCGGCGGCTGGACCTGCACACACGATGTGCAAAACTGCACATCGTGTCGCACGCTCAAATATCCGCTTTATCAGTCCGAAGACGGACGCTTCCATTTACATCCATTAAAAACGAATCGCTCACTTCGAGATACGAATCGGGAGGGATTAGCACCGTCGAGATGCAAAAGCGCGAGGATATTTTTGCAGCTTCTGAAAGCTACGCTATTTCTGGAATGCACAGCAAAGTTATTGTTTCGAATAAAGCGCCCATTTTGAAATCAAATGTTTTTACATCTATATTTTTTTTATAATCGAGTCAGATTCAAATTTTTCCTCGCGCTGCGTATCTCGCAATTTTTGTTTCAAGTTTACAGTACGAATTTATATTTCAGCGCGCGTTGCTGCTTTGATTTTTAGCACAGGCATTTCGAAAATTATGGATATACGTAGTTCTTAAGACAATCAATTCGAGCGGTATTCAATGTTCAACTAATAACATATAATTTCGGTCACTTTTAATTGCAATCTGCTTTGCATCAGGCCCCGCAATTTTCCAGGCCGGCTCTGCTTCGGCGCTGAGATTTCCCGAAGAAACTAATGACTCTCATCGGCCGTGACGGTCTGACCGCGCGGTAATTAATCGCGAGGGGGCCCGAGGGCCCGAGGATTGACTCTCTCGCGGTCCCTTCACCTCCTTCCTCCTCACCCTTCCCTCCCCCCAATCCTCCACTTTATTCTCGCCGAGAATTATGCAAGCCGACCGTTTATTAGCATGCTAACGACCGCGCATTAAAATACTTTATTTGCGGGACAGTGATTGAGTGTTCTCGTATGGTACTGGTGGAAGGGAGGGGGAGAGCGAGAGGCCAGGAAGGGGAGAAGAGAGAGAGAGAAAGGGGAAAAAAAACAGAAAAATTGCGGTGAGACCTTTTTTCGAGCTTTTTGAATTATGTAAGTGCCCTGGACTAATTACTCCGACGTCCGCGCTTCGGCTCGTTCGTTGTTTCGCATTCGACGCTCGAACGAGGTAGACGCGGTTGATTTGTGTTTTTTTCATCCACT